AATAAAATGAATTTTATTTTTAAATAATTATTTATAATAATTATTTTTAAAATTGAAAAATTGAAAAAAATTTAAAATATTATTATTAAATATATCTTAATATAATAAATATAATAAATTTTATTTTATCTTTTTATAATTATTAGATATCAAAATATTTAATTTTTTTAACATGTGATAGTTTTGCATAATCTTTATTAGTGTTAAAATATTTTAAGTTTTCTAAAATGTTTTATAAATAATTTTATATTTATAATTTAAGAAATAGTTTTTTATTAAAATAAATTTGAAAAAAATTATAATAATTAAATAGATAAATTTGTTTGCAAACTTAACAATTTAAAAATAAAAAAAAAAATGTTTATATAATAAATGAAATCAAAATAGTAGTATGATTACAACTTTATTTTTTAACTATATATAAAATCAAAAAAATTTTTATTTATCTTATTATGAATTATATAAAATTATTATAATTATATTTGATTAGATAATAGAGTAAATGGAATATATATAAAATACAATAAATTTGAATGTCTAACATTTAAAAGATATTTCATAATAAATAATAAATAATAAATATTAATTATATGGAAAGTTTGTTAGGAAAATCAGGCTCTGAAAATTTTTTGACTAAAATTAAGACCTTATTACATTTTAATCTAATAATATCAAAAATTAAAAATGCAATAAAGTTTCCAGAGTCTTATTTTCCTAGAAAACTTTCCATATAATATTGGAAATTATTAAAAGCTAGAGTAATTATCCAATTTTAATTATAATTTTAGCCAGAATTATAGATTTCATAAATAATTTAATTTTTATTTATCATGTGACTATTCTTAGGTCAATTATTATTTATTTAGCAAAAAAACCTTTCGCAGTAAAATGGTGTTACCAACCTACCATTAATTAAAATAGAAGACGATCCTATTTTATGGTATGAAGATAAGAAAAGTGTACAAGTACCTTTGGGTACTAATAGATCAGCATCTTACAAAATTTATACAATAAGTATTTATTGCATTCGAAATAAGGTCTTTCAATGACAAAAAAAGGAGATTGATTCTTTAACCCAAAAATCGTTAAGAAGTAAACATGGACCCGTTTTATTTGTCTTACAAATAAGGACCTTTCTATATAAATATAAATATACATATATAATGCAACAAAGCTTCTACCTGCAGAAAAGAGTTGTGACAAGGTAATGATCTAAAGCGGACGTCACCACATTGCGCAACTATTAGTTCGGATTGGAATAATGTTGAGATGCCAATTTTGGCTGAGGGAGGGAAATTCCTTAGAAACTTTTGATAATTTAGTCATTAGTGCGTGAATATTGAAAAAAAAAAGAAAAAAAAAAATTTTTTTTTTTATTAGATAAAAAAATTTAATTCCGGAAATAAAGAAAAAAAAGCCTCATTTGGCAATACCCAAAAAAGGAAAATTATATCAAATGTAGATCACAAATTTTCGGAAAGCTTTTGAAAGGAAAGAGACTATGTGATCGTCCATTAATGACGGCATTCGTTGAAACCCGATAAATCTAATGTGATGTGACACGTGATTTTTCGCATAATTACTGAATGTATTTTACTAAAGAGGAAATTTTTTGATTGGAATAATTTGCTTACTTTTCCTAACTTATTCCGTTGTATCAGGTTGTAACGGCAGTTAAAAGAATGACATAAAAATACATTAAAATGAACCAAAGAATTTTATGCCAAGCAAAAAAGAATTTTTAATATTCCAAATAAAAAGTCATGATTGTTGCGTGAATTTGATCGCCCCCCTGCTGATCATGTTACAATAATAATACGTAATATTTATACGATTAACAAGTTCCTAAGCACGTTTCAAATACGGCACGTGCGAAATGGTTTCTTGAAAAAATTTCTTCCGTAGCGAAAATAAAACGTAGCTCGTCAAAGAAATTGTATCTAAAATGGTTAAAACAATAAGAGTTTCGCGATATTGGCAAAAGAGGGTGAAGATAAAGGTTTATCAATTTTGATAAGACTTTTCTGTACTAGGTCGTTCACAGATCGGAATCATTTTCGTAAATCCCAATGCACTATGATGTACGTCTTTCATCGGCGTAAACAAAAGAAAAAGAATTTATATGATAGGATGGGAAGGAATTAGAATTAATTCGTAATTTATACCTAATCATTTTGTTAAATCGTTTTATAAAAAAGAAAGCAATTTTCTTTTTGACTTGTGTGTAATCTTTAACAAATATAAAAAAAGGTTGTCAAAAAAGTTTTTTTAAATCAGGTTTGAATCAGGTATTAAAAGTTATGATGAAACGAGCAATTCAACGATGATCATTGGTCCTAATGTGGAAATCAATAAATGCGAGGTTCGTAATGTTCTACTGCATATTGACAGGTACTCGGAAAGCTCAGGATACCAATCGTTTTTGCTCGTTTAAAAAGTCGAAACGATTTCTATAAATAACTCAATATAACGATTTAACTTCGATAAGGAGGTATGTTGTTTTCCAATGAAATTCGGATTTGATTAAATGTGAAAGAATAATTCATTCTATTTGATGATTTCATTCAGGATAATGATGATCCTAGTAAGCCCCCATATTTATTAATAACAACAGGATTTTTTTTTTTTTTTTAGTAAATATTTATTTTCATGCATCTTTTTAATTTAAAGTTTGATTTGCGTGACATAATCCGAATTAAAAATCATTCGGAACTCCTCAAAAAAAAAAAAAAAAAAAAAAAATGAATAAATAAAGGGGGATACGCAAACATTTTTGTTTCTTCTCACACTTCATTTTTTGAATACTTTTCTCACTTCATTTTTATGAATACAAAAAAAAATATTTAATTACTAATATAATATTCTTCAATCATCAAATGGTTGACTCTGCGAAAATATTATACCTCATAATAATACTTTTCGTACTTATAATACTGGGTACACCTTTCCTTAGCCCACACTTTGAGGAACTTCCAATAAAAAAGGAACCCGAACTACATGGAAATTTTCTTCACATAACAGATTTACATCCCGATCCCCGTTATGAATCTAATGCTACCGTCAAATCAAGGTGTCACAAACATTTTCAAAGTTCTTCTAAACCAAAACACATGTTTAAAGGTAAGGCTGGTCCTTGGGGAGCGCCGACGACGATTTGTGATGCACCTCTCAGTCTTATAGATGCAACATTTGAATGGTTGGAAAAAAATTGGAAGGACCAACTTGATTTTATCATTTGGACGGGAGATAACTCGAGGTAAAATTTTTGGTCAGAGTTTCGTGATTTTTCGTCATGTGGTATGAGCGAGCATTAAATGTTTCTTTATTTCTTCATTTGCAGGCACGACAACGATGAAAATTTTCCACGAACTCCGGTGGAAATGTTTCAATTGAATCGGATGATTTCCGAAAAGTTTCTAAAGACGTTCGCAAACACCAACAAGGCCAAGAAGAAGCACGCGCCACACTTCATACCCATCGTACCATCAATAGGGAACAATGATATTTATCCACATAATATCATTGAAGCGGGTCCAAACAGTATGCTCTCAATCCTTCATGACATCTGGTCCCCTTTTATTCCTAACGGACAGCATGAGACTTTTATCAACGGAGGGTATTATTATACGGAGGTGATCCCGGGAAAACTCATGGTGGTCTCATTAAATACCATGTATTTTTTCAAATCCAATTCCGCAGTTAATGGATGTGTAGATCCTCTTCAGCCTGGTACGAAAGAAATGAAATGGTTGAATGATGTTTTGAAATTGGCACGCGAACGTGGGATGAAGGTGTACTTGACCGGTCACGTTGCGCCGAGAGCCAGGGCATACACCATAACGTGCTATAAGAGATACGGTCGGTTATCATTAAAGTATCAAGATGTCATATTAGGACATTATTATGGCCACTCGAATATGGATCATTTCTTCTTTATTGGTTCGAAAGGCATACGCGAAAAAAATCCTAAAAATAACACGAATGGGGATGTTTTATCAATTAGTGATGATGATTTGTATGAAGATGAGGAGGATGAAGAACCCGTCAAAGCCGAAAATCGAGAAAAATTTTCTCCCGAAAGCGATTCAAAGATTGATGAATATTTGGGCGAACTTCATCATCATTATAGTGCGATACCCCCTCATACTGACCATTTAGCAAATGATTACGTTGTCGTAAATATCAATCCATCTGTAATTCCTACCTTCTTTCCCGCTTTGAGAATAGTTAAATACAACACGACCGAGGTGACAAGGGACGAAGTTGATTCGACGAAATTGCATCAAAACACCTTTTTAACACCTTTAGGATACACTCAATATTTTATGAACCTTACCCAAGCAAATTTATATCCAAACATTACGCCAGAATATACAGTTGAATACACAACGTGGGATGATTATCTTATGAAAGATTTAACGGTTCCAAGTTGGATTCATTTGGCGAGAGAAATTGCAAATAATGGACTTGATGGTTCTCTATGGGAAAAAGTACGAGAATTTTTGTTGGTAGGAACAAATTCCTTGATTAATCAAAAGAACAAATCATTTCAACAATGTACATATTCAAGTTGTTCTGCAAAGGGACCAGAAGATTATCTGGCTTCGGAACTTTCGTTTTAAGAAAAAAAAAAAAAATCATTTTTTTCACGTATAAATATTTAGCATTTCATAATTTTATAATTAGTCAGTTGTAAAGTAATTTTTATTCACTATTTTCATTTCTTCAGTTAAAAGAAGCACAAACATTTTAGAGACAATTTTTTTTTTTTTTTGTTTATTAGTTAATCAATTCAGTCTATAACCTTATTCCAATAACGTATTTACCAAGTTTGAAATTCCAATAACGTAATAATGTAATGAAATTTGAAATTGAAATTGACCTAATATAAAATTATATTGTAAATAAAATTTGTAAGCCACGACCGTAAGCCACCTCCGTTTTATAATGACCTAATTTAGCTAATAATAGTTATAAAGTACTAAGCTTTACTCGGCCATAATTGTTTGTTTTTTTTGCAAGGCAAATAAGCCACGCTTACGAAAATCGGATTAAAAAAAATACAAGCCCCCATTTTTCTTTAGCGAAACCGTCACGTGATTTTGCGCAATTTCCGGGTTGAGAGGAGAAGTTACATCTAGAAGTTGAAGACTTGGCTTAGTTTTTCGCTTAAATATGTATTAAGGAACCTGGCTTATTTCCTTTATGGATTTTGATTAATTAATGGGCTAAGTTTTGAAGCGAAATCTAATGGACTTTTTGATCCATATATCATCAAGAACGTATAAATATCTTCAAGAATTTCTTTCAATAAAGATTCAAAATTCTAAAAAAAAAAGCCAAAATGAAACGAAATATCTTCTTAATCATTAGTGCCTTGGTATTCTTAGCAGCTGTCATTACCACTGCTTTGCCACAAGGCGAACCCAAAACCAATGAAACTGAAGCTGAAAGTGGTCATCATTTTACTGACTTAAAAAACAAAATTAGTAAGTTTATATAACACCTTATATATATATATATACTGTATATATATATAATTTACATCTTTTTTATTTTACTAATTATGTAGAGGGTTGGTTCGATCCTGAAGAAGACGACGATAAGGTCGACAAATAGGGGTGATTGGAAAAACACCACCTCCATGAAGAATCATCCTTACTAGAAAATGTTTATGCGTGACTTCGTGAAAACACGAACGCATCTTTATAGAAATCAATTATTTTTTAGACTCTTCTTTTTTACTTTCGTTTTTTTTTTGTCATTTTCGGTCACGGACACATTACAAATAGATTCTCGTGTAATGTTTCTCGGTATTTTATATATATAATGTCTTTTGTGTATGTGGATAAACTATGTAATTCATTCCTTTGAACGATTATTAATTTTATAAAATTTTATTCGTTAAAAAAAAAATATGGAACCATGAACCATGAACAATGTTGAAACCTTGTGATGTTTTTTTCGTGTTCGAAATAGATCATTTACCGTAAAAGAGTCTTAAGAAATGTTATAATTGAGGTCAAATAACTCATAATATAGAGTGATCGGCCTATCCAAGATGTAAAAAGCATGACAACAAAAATAAATAAATAAATAAATTTGACATGCCCTAAAATGATTTTTTGTTGTTTTTATCAAAAAAAAAAAAAAAAAATAATGTTATTCTGGGGAAAATTGAGTATTACCGATCGAATTAAAGGTGACAACAAACAATATAAACGAAAAGGAGGCCCTTCAAAGAACGAGAAAAAAAGAAATAATATAAACAACAACGATGCACTTTAGGAAAAAACAGAAAATTCGAGAAATGAATTACGTAATAATTGAGTAATTAAATTATCGCATTGACCATACCATGTCGATATTATTTGAAAAATGACAAACCCATACGTGAGTATTGTAAAATATAAATTGTGAACATGCCATTGTTCCAGAAAGAACGTGAGAATTCATTTTAAAATAAATTTTCCTAACCAATTAAAATTATTAATTGATTACTATCAGGATTGTAAAATTACGAAAATTACGAAAGTTACAAATTATAAAATTATAAAAAAAAAATTAATTTGCAAACGAAACTTTTAAAGCAGTTTTTAATAGTTTGAAGAATTTGAGATATAGGGAGGGATTGAATTGTGAATTAAAATAATCGGTCAATGTATTAATTAAAATTCTTAAAATTATTTTAGGAAAATAAATTATTACTTTATTAGTATAATATTTTAAAGAGAGTGCTTGATTATCAATGCCACGAATAATAATAAGTTAGTTTCGTTGGATTAAAAATTCAACGCGAATTAGCTCAAATATTTTTCATATCGATCATCTGTAATAACATTATTACATCATAAAATGTAATCGTTGAATAATCATTGATGTTACAATAAATGCTTTGAGCAAAAGAAATTATTATCTCAAAATTTCACAAACGTCATCCTCACATCATCCTTATCCATTAAAATTAAATGCGTTAGTAAAGTTGAACTTAAAAAAAAAACTAAAAACTAAAACAAATTGTTGTGGATACTATATTATCAATTATTAAAATTTCGAATATTTAGGAACGTTTAGGTTTTAGTGGGGGAGTTCTAGCTTGGCAATTGCATTTTTATTAGGTATGAAATCCTGATTAACTGGAAAACCTTAACGGGACTTAAAATTTATTGCCATGGGAATTTATTCGATTTTTATTCTTTCTGAGTAAAGGTAGCTGCGTAATGGAAATTTAAAAAATTCTTTCCGTTATTAGTTACTTTAGTTCTTTATTTAAACGCAAAAAATATGAATCAAATGAATCATAAAATATGAGAAATTAAATATGTTGGAAACAAAAAATATGGCACCAAAAACCTTTTTAGGATGATATGTATGTACATAAAAATTATTTAATTATTATTAATTATTTTTATTTTAATATAGAATATTTTCTTTTTGAAAGTATATATACATTAATAAACTATTATTTTTTAAATATGCCACAGTCAAGTCAAAAATAAATAAAACATCATTATCAACTTTACGGGAACGTACAAGAAAAAATTTTAACTAATGATGTCTTTTAATTCAATCAAATTTTCCATTTCCTTCTTTGAAAAATACTTGTCATTAAAAGCCTCTGGAACGTTTGGGTAAAATTTATTGATTGGTAAGGGCTCATTCATTTTAGGAATATAAACCGTATCTCTTTTATTTGGCATTAATCGGACATAATCTATTTGCTTTAAAAATAAAATAAAAAATTAATATTCATAAAATTTTGTCAGCATAATCACAAAATTCAGTATAAAGACATACCATTATAATAGAATTCTTTTTTAGGTTAATTGAAGGTTGTGCCCATTTATTTACTTCGAATGGAAGCGTATATTCAATCCAGCCTAATCCGATAAGTTCTGACAAATTTTCATATGTTAACGTTAATTTGTGACATTTGGTGAGATTACTATATATCTATAAATAAAATAAATTATATAAGTTAAACCGATAAATACTTTAATAACGCACGTATCTAACATAACATATAACTCAACTCACATCAAGTATTTCAACGACAAACTCCACATAACAATCTTTGGATAATAACTTTTTAACATTTATTTTCCACGTTACATAATACAAAAAAAATCTAATCACGTTATCAAAAAGTTTGGGCAAAATAACGGGAAGTACTTCATCTTTAAAAGATAACACTTGCTCCGACAAACTAAAGTTTTACAAGGAAAAATTAATTTCATATTAAGATAGATAAATCTTATTACAAAATGCTTACCTATTGGAATCACTTTCTTGGAACCGAAGAAATTCATTATTCAAATTGGTAAGGTTTGAAGTAAAATAAACACCCTTTTCTGAAAAAGAAAATGAGACGTTAACTTTTTTATATATAAATAAATGTAACGAAAATACTCTTCTTACCTTTATACATGAGTTTATGAAATTTATTCACAATCCCGATTTCAGTAAAGTAACCATCATTAACTTTATAATACTTCAGTAGAAATGACCACAAATCTGAATCGGAGTACTCTTGTACTAGATAAACAATTGAAAAGTCCCGATGATTTAATGTTGATGATTCATTGATGGATAATAAATGCTTTAAATAATCTAGCAAAAATTTTGCCAAATTATCATTAGTTTCAAATAAAGATTTACATCTTTCAACTTCAACTTTTGCACTATAATGATTTCCCAATGCATAATGTATTAATCCCTTAAAGTAATATGCAAAGCTATTTGAAGAATCTATACATATGGATTTATTAATATCTAATAAAGCCTTATCATATTCTTGAAGTTCATAGTGAATAATAGCTTTTTTAATCAAAATATGAGTGTTCTCGGGATCAATGTTATACGCTCTAGTGAAATGGAATATTGAATCCTTGTACCTTCCTAAATAATTAAGGATTTCTCCGTAATAACATAATATTAATGAATCGTCCTGATTCATTTCCAGTATCTTGTCCAACATCTCTAATGCTTCTAAATACCTTTCTTGAATTTTATAAATATGTGCACAAAACTTCAAACATAAATAATGCTTCGGTTCATTTAGTAATGCAATCTTAAAATTCTTTAAAGCTTCATCATAGTAGTAATGGTTCTTATATCTTCCTGCTTCAAAATAATAGCTAGTCCCAATCAATATATTCAGATTATTTGTTTTAATCTTATAATCTTTCGCAATGTTTAATTTTAGTATTGCATTGATGTATTCACTTTGGCTGAAGAGAATTTCACCATAAATGTAAAACGCAATTGGATTTTTCTTCTTTAACTCAATGGCTTCATTTATATATAAACGTGCTTGTTCGTAATTTTTAAGGCATCTATACGCGTAAGCTATAATGCACCTCATGGTATAACTTTTAGGAAAAATCTTTAGATAATCCCGACACCTTAATACCGCTTTCTCATAATTCCTCCCTTCCAATTCTTTTATAACGTTCTTGTATTCTGGATATTGTTTTTTCGAATTGGTAATTTGAAATATTGATTGGAATCTATTCGTTCTCATTTTAAACTCTTTAATAAACTTTTTCTTAATTATCATGTAATCAGCTTCCGAATCATCAGAATCACTCTTATAATGATCATTCGTTGCCTGATCTATTTGATCCGGATCATCTATCTCATTCGAGTATAGAATACGTCCAGCATCAAAAAGGTAAGAATATAAATTTTTGAAAATGGTACTTTGTGATAAGGCTCTGACATCATTATTTTCAATACTTTCTCGACATATAGGACATTCTCTCTGCTTCAACCTTTTTAAATTATTAAATGAAATCACATGTTGACATTTCAAAATACATAATTGATCCTCTGGTTCATGACTGATCGGACAAGTCATTTCATCTGCGATAATGTCTAATATGTTACAGGAATTTAATGTTTGTCCTTTTTGATCCTTTCCTTTTCCCTTTTCAACCTTATCATTCATTATCTTGAAATCATCATGACATTTTTCTTTAACGAATGATAATAAACATTGAAATCTTTCTGAAGATTCACTATTTGGATTGTTTTCATATAATTTTTGAGCGTACTGATTGAAATCAATTTCCATCATTGAAAACGATTCCTCGTTAATATTTTGCAAGTGTAATAATACCTCAATTGCTTTAAATTGAATGAAACTGCTTGGAGCTTTGTTTAGTGTTTCAATTGCCAAATAATAACAAAGTCCGTGTATAACCGATTGAGTAGATTTTTGGATGAGATTTTGTGCGAGATCCAACATTCCAAACCATAACATATCTGGTAATGCGAGTGGTTCATTCCCGACCATGTCACTTAAAAAACCTCCAGTGTTTCTTAAACTCCTGGAAAGTTTGTTTGATATTTCATCGAATTTATTTTGAGAGTTTAACATGGCTTTATCAACGATATGATTCCATTCTCTTTCCGAGTAACTCCAAAGATATTCCATTAAGATCCTTTCTCCAAATTTTTTACTAATTATCCTTTCATTACTTTCTGACCAATTAAAAAGGTTATATTGAATTATCAACATAATTCTCCAATCCAAGTAATAAGATGCTATCGGATATTTGAAACTTAAACCTTCACGCAATTGAACAAAAGTTGCACAATTATCAAATGGGACGATAACCGCAGGTGCTAATATTGACAAAAGCCCAGGTGTAATGTTTAAAGCGGACTTTAACAAAACTTTGGTTCTTCTTAAAATTTCTTGAAACCAAGTTTCGTCATCACGAAGACTATGCAATGTATCTCGCAAGTGAATTAATAGAAAGTCAATATTATAGTTACGTCTTTTAATAATATTTTTATCATTATAGACCCTTCTTTGATTGGATGGATTGAAATTTGGCCTAAGACTATCAAACCCTTCTTCAACAACTTGTATATTTTTGCGATGAAAATCCGCAAATTTTGCTAGGGAATTGTAAATTTTATCTCGAAGTTCCTTACAAAGTACTATTTGTGAAAAGCATATCTGTTCCAAAGCTGCGGTCCAAGCTCGTAAATGAAATTCCAATCTTGTTATGATTTCTTTTGAATGATGGTTAAATAGTGAAGGATTGGCGAAATGTTCTATCGAGTCCACTAAAACCTGGGATGAAAATATATTTTGTGGATTTTCGAAAAGTAATTTTAGGGCGTATAAGACCTTTGTCTCGGTCAGCCTCGTTATAAGTTCATTTACTTTTTCATCTGGCGCAGTAAACCCATCCTCTTCTAACTTTAGAAGGATTTGATTGTTGGTTATGGACTCGTGCGAAACCGCTTTAGATATAATCGAGGTGTTATCTACGAAATCGGATGGTGCATATATCGGTCTCTTGTTTGAGCTTCCGGTCTAAAAAGGGAGCAGATAAAAAGAGGTGAATAATTTTATATTTCCTCGAAATAACTTAAAAAAAAAATTATTTCACCTGACTTGAACTTTTTCCCATATTTTCGTTTGGCAAAAAAATTCTCGTGGCTTTATTATTACAATGAGTGCAACATGTCACAACAGATCCTTAACAATAAAGGAATGCGAATTTATCAAGGAATGTCGGGGGTTATGCAAATAAGTTTATGTAATATAAAAAATAAAAAATAAAAATAAAAAAAATTAAAAAAATTAAAAAAAGAAAAAATTCAAATTTATTTATTTATTTTTTTTTTTGTTTATAGGTTTTTATTTATTTGAGTATTTACAACGATTTATTTGTTCAAGTGATAGTATATATTAATTTGTTGGTCCATTTTTCGGACCATCTGACGATCGCATATATATTTGTTATGTTTATTTATCACATTAAGTAAAATTTGTTTTGGCAAATAAATTATTTTTAGCAATTTAGGGTAATGAAAAGGCGTAAAACGAGGTGGTTGGTATTTTGGGCGGAATTATTTAAATTATGCATGATTATATAATTTTTGTGACCAACAAAACGTTTTAAACCAAAAATTTATTAATGCTCACGATTCCGAATTTCCACCACGTGGATATAATTAATCAATTTGAAAAATTTTGTTCTTGCATACTTGTTTGTTTTTTATGCAACAAATAGATTATTAAAAAAAGTAACTGATTTAAAAATAACGGTTTTGTAAATCCGGTGATTGGTCGATCCAAACGAACTATGGGGTAGAGGTCCGAATCGGTCAAAAATTTTATGTTCATAAAATTTATAATCGATTCTTATTTAACTTTAGACGAAAAAAATTTTCAGTCACAACACTTCCATGGAAATATGAATGCAGATTTGCGGTTTGTTACATTATTTGTCCTGCTTCTTTAGTTTGTTATCACTAACTTGAATTGAACAATTGATAGCTTTCGATAACTACGCGATGATCCTTATAACAAGGTGATATCATTTGTTAGCGATTTGAATTTTATGTCTAATAACTGTCTCTGAAAGAATCGAATTGACCCGGTTAATTCGAATCGGGACCGCTAATTTAATAAGCTTCTTGCGACCCAACTGAGTTTTACTTTTATTTTGACCAAGGTGTCCTGCATTATGACTTGTTATTCATGTCCTTAGGAAAAGGTTCAAACAGATTAGAATATTTTTTACTTCAAAGATGTCTTAATGTTTGAAACACAAGTTACTAAAAGACAATTGTATGTCTTATCTAGTATAATCTATTTTGAATACACGTAAAATTGACCAATCAAATTCTAAAAATTTATTACGATACAAATCTTTCTCAATTTAAATAAACTTTCTGAAAAGATAATATCGCAGAATAGTGTGGAGTCGAAGCATTCCGGCTCCAAGATGATTAATGAAAACATGCAAGGACCTCTCTTCAAATTATTTATTATAACAATCGAACTATCAAAAGAAGGAGTGAGTTAAAACTTTTTATACAATAAAATTTTATCATCAATATGTTGCACTAAGTTTAAAGTGCAAAGTTTAAATAATGATAATTTTATTCAATTGATAAGAATTCGATGAAGCATCTCAAGAAAATTTTAAATTTTGTATCTTTTAAGCAACAAAATAATTTATCTAGTAGTATCGACAATCTTTAGAAATAATTTCGATTTTCATTAGTACTCATCAAACAACTCGAGATGTAAATAGCCGGGCGACTTCAACCCCTTGATCCATTGCTTCATATCAGTAGCTTAAAGATTTTTTATTTTTTTAAAATAAATAAATTACATTTCAAAAATTTACAAGTAGATTCTACATTGTATAGCCAGAACTCGATATAACGACCCTCCCGGTTTATTATAAAAATTTTTGGAAAAAAAAAATCAAATCATTTTATCAAAATTTGTAAATTTAAATAATTAATATAGAACAAAAAGATTGTTTAAACGAGAATTTATTAGGTGATCGTTATATAAAAGTTCGTTATATCGAATTCTGATTTTTCTGAAATGAAATAAATAGGAAATAAACTCTAATATAAAAGAAATATTTTTTCGATTTATAATATTTAAAATTAAAAAATAAAGCAAAAAAAGTATTATTTTATTTTATTTTATTTTTGTCGGAGAAAAAATCCAAAAAATTTAAATTTGTAAAGATTATTTTTATGCGCAATAACGTGATCTCATCATGCTTTCAGTGGAACTCATATTTATTGCTAACTATTATATATTACTACGAAACTCAAATATTCAATATTCAAAAAAAAGAATATTTTTTTTCGGTCTATAATTAACATAAGTATTAAAGCTTAATAATATTGTATCACCACCATTACATTGTTTATCGTTGTACAAAATAATTTTAAAGGTAAAAATTTAATAATAAATCCTAAAAAAAAAAAAAAAAAGGAATAAAGTACATGAAGAATAACATGCAAACGTGTTTATTTGACAGCTATAAGATGATAATTTAATTTTTTTTTTTTTTTAAAAATAAAAAAAAATAATTCACATTAGAGCCAGTTTTGGATGATAAGGAAGCATTCTCATTAAAAGAAATAGAAGGTAATACCATGCATTATTGATCACTTTCAAATACTATAATTCATTATTTATACTCAATTTTGATTCTTTAAAACATTAAATTTTATCAGTTTCAAGTAATGAAGGCAATAACTATAATTCATTAAATATTATGGTAATTTGTAATTATACTCTGTTTACTAAAAATTAAAATATAGAATTAATGTCAAGTAATAAAGGTAAAAATAATAACTAAAATATTGTAATTCGTTAATTATGAAGGTAAATACAATAGCAATATAATTAATTAATAAATATTATATTACATTATTATAATCAATAATTTAGAAAGATTAAATGGTAAAGAACATTTATAAATTATTTAAAAGCTTAATTATATTATAACCTCATTAATTAAATTTATTAATTTCAATATTTTTTATCAAAATAAATACATTATAATAGAGCTAGTTGCAGATATTCCTAATGCTCCTACATTAAAAAAATTAAATGGTATCTATTTATTAAGTTATACTATAATATTTAAATAAATAATCTTTAAATTTTTTTAAACTTTATAATATGCTAGATTGTAAGTCATTTATTTTTTATTATACTTTATATAATCAAAATTTAATTAAACTTTTATTCATTTAAAAATATCTAATAATCAATGTTACAATAGGGAGTAAGTTATTTTATTTTTAATATTATAATTTAAACTTAATTATTTCAAATAATTTTTAATGATTAATAATATTTGGTAAGTTTTTTTTTATTTAATATTTAATATATGTATTTAATTGTATTTTAAATTTATAAATTTTATTTAAAATATAGATGGTAAGCTATATTTAATAATTTAAACATTTTATAATTTAATAAAAATATTAATATATTGATAATATTATAGAAAATAAGTTATATTAATTAATTAATATATTATTATAATATTCTTTTAATTAAATTTTTTTATTTAATATATTTAATAATAAAAGATAGTAAATTATTTTATTGATTATTAGTATTAATATACTTTTTACTATAATTTAAATATAATTAATTTTTTTTATTTAAATATAAAATAATACTTAAAGAGGTAAGTTATTTATATTGATTATTAATATTTAATTATACTTTTAACTATAATTTTTAAATTCAACTAAATATTTTATTAAAAAAATATTTAAAATTTAGATTGTAAATTATTTTTATTGATTATTAATATATAATTATACTTTTACTATAATTTAAATTCAATTAAATTTTTTATTTAAAAAAATATTTAATAATTAAAAATATAATAGATCGTAAATTATTTTTATTAATTATTAATATTTAATTATATTTTTATTATAATTTAAATTCAACTAAACTTTTTTATTTAAAATATAAAATATTACTAAAGGGAGTAAGTTATATTTATTATTAGTATTTAATTATACTTTTTATTATAATTTAAATTAACTAAATTTTTTATTTAATAATTATTAATATAATAAATGATAAGTTTTTACTATAATTTAAACTTAATTAAAATTTTTTATTTAAAAATATTTATTATTTAGATTGTAAGTTATTTTATTAATTATTAATATCAATTATAATTTTATTATAATTTAAACTTAATTAATCTTTTTATTTAAAAAAATATTTAATAATTAATAATATAATAGATGATTAAGATTTTTTTATTGATTATTAATATTTAATTATATTTTTTTATTATAATTTAAACTCAAATAAATTTTTATTTAAAATTAATTAATAATACAATAGATGGTAAATTATTTTTTTTTGATTATTATTATTTAATTATACTTTTTACTATAATTTTTAACTAAATTGTTATTTATAAAAATATCTAATAATTAATAATACAAATAGATGGTAAATTGTTTTCATTGATTAATTTGTATTTAATTTTTATTGTAATTTAAATCTAATTAAATTTTTTATTTAAATAATATAATAATTAAAAATATAATAGATCATAAATTATTTTATTGATTATTAATATTTAATTATACTTTTTATTATAATTTAAACTTAACTAATTTTTATTTAAAATAAAAATATTACTAAAGAAGGTGAGTTATTTATATTGATTATTAGTATTTAATTATACTTTTTACTATAATTTTATTTAATTTATTGTTTTATTTAAAAAAAAATATTTAATAATTAATAATATAATAGATGGTAAATTATTTTTATTAATTATTAATATTTAATTATACATAATTTTTACTGTAATTTAAATTTAACTAAATTTTTTTATTTAAAAAATATTTAAAATTTAGATTGTAAATTATTTTATTAATTATTAATATTTAATTATACTTTTATTATAATTTAAATTCAATTAAATTTTTTATTTAAAATAATATTTAATAATTAATAATACAATATATTGTAAGTTATTTTTATTAATTATTAATATTTTTCTATACTTTTTATTATAATTTAATTTAACTAAATTTTTTATATAAAAAATAATTTTATTAAGGGGTTAGTTATTTTTATTAATAATTAATATTTAATTATAATTTAAACTTAATTAAATATTTTTAATTAAATATATTTAATAATAAAAAGATAGTAAGTTATTTTTATTAATTTTTAGTATTTAATTATACTTTTATTATAATTTATTTTTAACTAAAATTTTTATTTAAAATACAAAATATTATTAAAGAAATTAAAATTATTATTATTTATTATTAGTATTTAATTATACTTATTATAATTTAAACTTAACTAAATTTTTATTTAAAATATAAAATATTACTAAAGGGTGTAAGTTATTTAATTATATTTTTTTATTATTACTTAGGTATAATTAAATTAATAATAAAAAATTTATTAAATATTTAATAAATATATTTATTATATAAGTATTATAATTATAATATCTTAAAGTTATAATAAAATAATAATTATTATATTAATATTATAAAATTATTTAGAAAAAGAAATTTGTTTAAATTGTAATAAAAATAATACTAGATTTAACTAGTGTAAAGAATGTTATTCTAATTTATTTCAGCAAAATTTTTCTAATTGGACTAGTAAAAATAAAATTTATTAATAAATTTATTCAAAAAACTCAAATATATGCTCAATATAAAAGATAAATATTAGAATGGATTCCCTATAATAAATTTCAAGATATTAAATATTTTGATAAAGAAGGATTTAGCACTATATATAAAGCTATTTAATTGAATGGATTTATTAAATCTTATTCATATGAAAATAAAAAAATGGATTAGAAATGGTAAAATTGAAATAATTCTTAAAAATTTTGATAAATCATCAAATTTAAATGAAAAATTTTTAAATGAGATATTAAAATCAATAATTATTTGTAATTTTAAATTATTAGATTTTATATTAAACTAGCTTTTATTTTTTAAGTAAAAATATCATTATATTTATTATAGCCAATTAAAATACTATTTAAATAAAAATCTTATTCAATTATATGGATTTATTCAAGATTTAAATACTTTAAATTATATGATAATAATAAAATATGCAAAATATAGTAATTTAAGAAAAAATTTAACAAAAATAGTTAAAGATAAGTGGAATATAAAATTATTAAAATTATCTAATATTATTGATGAACTTAATGAAATACATCAAAAAAATCTTATTTATTATGATTTTCATCATGGTAATATTTTTAAATATTAGAGAAGAAATTATGTCAATTAGTAATTTAGGATTATGTAAACCTGTAAAATATTTTCAATCATTTAAAAATAATAATATTTATGATGTATTACTATTTGTAACACCTGAAGTTTTAAGAGGATAACCTTATATATTTGTGAGTGATATATATAGCTTTTCTATTATTATGTGAGAATTTATATCTGAAATTCCTCCATTTAATGATCAAGCATATGATTTTCAGCTTGTTTTAAATATTTGTAAAGATAAACATTCTAATATTATTGCAAATATTTCACAATGTTATATAGATTTAATGAAGCAATCTTGGGATATTAATCCATTAAAAAACCAATATATTAGAAATTAAAATGATTATTGATAATTGATATAATAATATTCTAAAGAAGAAATATGATAAAGAATTTATAAATAATATGATAGAATTTTATAAATCAGATAAAGCTTTAGAACAAAAACAAATAATAATTTATTTCATAAAATTATTATTAATTCTAATCCACAAGCATATTATGCTAGTTTACTTAATTTTACTGAAAAATTAAATAAAATTTTAGATTATAATATTGAAAAAACAGAAATAAGTAAAAGTATTGGTAAATATTTTAATATTTATTAATTATTAATCTTATTTATATATTTTTAATTTATAGAAAATTTAATTATTACAGAAGATGAAATCAGTAAGTGTCTTAAGTAAATATTATACTTATATATAAAAGATTAAATAATTTTATTTTAAAATAGATAAAGAATATTAAATATATTAAATTTATTATTTAATGAACACTGTAAATAGAGTAATTACTAGGGAACGGGGACCGTTCTTAAGTCCGGAACGATCTTAACTAAAAAAATATTGCAAAAGCCAATCAGCATCGACTCAATTTGTGAGCGGGACACTTTGCGTAGACATATATAGTCCTTCACTTCGTTCCGGACTAATAATATAATAAGATGCAGTTTGTAATCATTTAAATAAAATTTTATATTATAAATAAATATTAAATTATTAATGTTTTATTATATTCTAGACTTCCTTTTATTTTTTATTATATTATTTTATTTTATTAGCAAAAAAAAGAAATTGCTTTGAATCACAACAGATTTCTCGGCTTTTTTTTTTTATAATTGATAGGATTAAAATTATTTTCTTTTTCGCAACTTAATTTAGCAAGGAACGGTCAAGTCCCTAGCACAGAAATTTTTTAATACATTTTTTTTCAGAATATTCAAAAACGACAATCGGAGTTAAAGGTTTTGACCATACCATCTTCAAATTCTCTTTTCTTTCACACAAAATCCCTTCTAAACTCATTATCAAAAACGTCAGCTCATAAAATAATCTTGATATTCATTACGAAGAAGTATCTTTTTTTCACAATTTTCAGATGCTAATTTACTCGATAATTTTTATAAGGAATTAATCTTTTTTCTCATTAAATTTACGACTCTCTAGATATCCATTCATAATGGTCTGATACATTGGGCTATTTGAATAATCATGAAATTCTTTTCTCTTGAAGTCGTGTTGTAGAAGTAACGTAATTTTGACGATGCGAAAATTAACCATAAAAAAATTCTTAATTATTCAATCTAGAATTATATTAACGAAACGCCACTTTAATGTTTGTTATTAATCTTTTCAGAAAATATATTTTCTCGACTTAAGGAATTTCGTAAAATAAAGCCGAAATATAAAAGCGACTCCGGATTAAAAATTATTTATTTCGATAAAACTTATATAAAAACAAACTCCGTAACGACTGTGCAAACCACGTATAATATTCAGGAGATTTTACTATAAAAATTTAATTAGGGATGTGTTCCTCATTATTCTCAATATCAAGTTTACATCTTCCCCTATTAAACCGACTAAATCTTTATAATATACTCGAAATTTTTATTCATTCCTCCTTCATACAACCCCCCGATATTTTGTGACTGTACTTACCTATTAATAATAGATCACAATTTTCTATCTGATTCAAGTCGGGACTGTTAGAAGACCAATTCATAACAATTGGGACATTTTCTTACAAGAATTTCTTAGCTACACAGATTGTATGCTGAAGCCGTGATCCTTGACTGCGTCTAATTAGTCATGTGTTTAAAAATGACTAACAAATTTGAAGTGGATAAATTACAAAGTGGTCATTAGATAGATTAGTTATAGTCGTTGTATTTGTTAGTTATATCAATTTAATAGAGTTATTATATTTATCGTTTATATTATATTTTTTATATTTTACTTTATAGTATTTTATTCTGTATAAATATCTTGTATTTTCCTTTAAGTTGAAAAGTAACTCGAGATAGGGTTTTAGGATAAACCAAGAGTTCAATAAAAGAATCTTATAAATTCATTTGCTATTACCTTTTGTCGTTTCTTCATATAGGCGTGATTGTGATAAAGTCTTGTATTTAATTCAACGTATCGAATTAAAAGTTAAATCGTTTTGTTTATAGATACCAAGCCAACAATGCTTAGGATTATTATCTTGCTGAAAACGCCAATATTTCCACAGCATTTCTTGATCTCAGGAAATGCTTTTTATGATTTTAACATGGACCAGTCATGACCATGCGTTAGCTTCCCTATATAGGGTGAGTAATGTAAATTGGACAATATGCTTTCTTATGGTACTAAACTTTTGCAATAGACATAATTAAAATGTGTCTATTATGACAAAATCTGTTTTGACATTTATTGTATAATCTTTGGAACTTTAACGAAGGTTTTAATAGGGTAAATGCATCCCTGTCGGATTTATATTAATAATGTAAGAGAAAATCTTAAAAACGTCAATCACAAATTCATATATACAGTCAAAACTGGTTATAAACAACCTCTTTATAACGAACACTGGATATAACGAACTCACAATTTTTTAAATTTTAATAATTAGTTCGTTATAAAAAGTGTAATGGTTCATAGTAATTTTATAACGAACTTTTTTTTCTAATAGAACCGTCAGTTCGTTATAAAGTGTGTTGACTGATTGATATGGCGAAGATTTTAGAACCATTTTTTAATAATGATGTTAATTAAGTAAGAACTAATCAGTATTCAGAACATAAAAACGATTAAGAAACGATTATTAAGAAAAAAAAAATTTTTTTATTTATAATAAATCAATTTCTGGAATCTAAGAAAAATTTAAATTTTCTTTTAAAAGTGTCAAGTGTTGTATCTACATAAGAAAGATTTATTAATTTTAAAGAATCGAATTGTGAATAAGTATGTGAGGATTAATTGATCATTTTAAATTTTTCGTTTGATAATAAATTTTGTAGAATTTTTATAATAATCAATATTCAATTCGTCTTATTTAATAAAACCTTATTAGCAAAACCGTCATAACTTGAAATCATTTCGACTTTTTCATTCGCTAAAATGAGTTTTTCCAGGCAATTAACTATACATTATATCATAAAAATTCAATTGTAATTAATATCTCCAAATACGCTTGAAAACTTTAAAAAAAAATTATCGAAGAAATTTTGATCATTTGTGGTAAATTAAATTTCATGAGGGCTGGTTGCGATCCAGTGAACTGTATAGCAAAAACTGTTGGCATATTTTCGAGCTATACTGAATAAAAAAACGTCAATTTTTTTATAATAAAAAATTAAACGTTTGATAAACGGTGCTAGGCTAAGCGTTAAAATATTTATTGCTCAATTTGGATTAGGATAATATATAACTTTTTTAACATTATTACATTGTAATTTTGTTTTAATATTTTGTATTTTGATGGCATTAAACCTTGCAAGTCATTAAATGGCATGTCAATCGTTCAACTTGTTTCAATCCGTCAAATCAACCTTTATTCACAATCAAAGCTATAGAATAAGTAATATTTAATAGATTCCTTTTATTAATAGTGAAGTTAGAGATAAACATCACGTTGCAACTTAGAGAAAATATATTTATACAACTAAATTAATAATAAAAAATAATATGATATAATTATACAGTACATCAGATTTATCATGCATGCACACAAACTTTTAACAATGCTGTTCCTGTGGTAAACAAGGTATATACTATTTAGGTTACTAATTTATCAGGTTATCGCAAGTGTATTCTTGAAGCAATTCATAATATGCTTTTATTACTGCATATCCAAAATCAGTTCTTAATAAATGAGCCTTATTGGTTTCTAAATTCTTATCTGGAAGTCCCCATGAATTATAAATATTTCTTAAATCAATCTCTTTAATATACGGTCCAGTGAATTTAGCAATTCTTGATCATTTAAAATTGGCTTCATCAGTTGTTCCCAAATATCATCAAATCGATAAAATCCGGGTACATGGATTGCGACACTTCTTATTATCACTTGTTCCAAAACGATCATTCGTGGAAATTCTGTAATGTGACCGTCATCATTCTTATTTTTAAATAAACTAAAAAAACATCTTTCAACTTTACGCTTTATTGCACTTAAATCCGTACTTGAACTCTCATTAGACATTATTTCTAATAAAGAATTTTGAATAAATTCCTTTTCTCGTTCATAATAGACAAAGGCACAAACTCTTAATTTATCTTTTTCCAGGTATTCAAGACACTTCTCCAATACAGTGGTGAATTTATCCATTAGAGAGATAAATTCCTTGTGAGGATCGTCATTAATTGAAATTGATTCTGATTCTCTGAATTGATGCTTTGTTTCTTTATAACTCGTATAAAGGCATATTCCCCAACCAAAAGGTTTTAACGACACATTATCCAAAGACATAGTAATCAACAAATTATGGTCTGATCTTTGAGGAAAATCTTTAGTTGGAACTCCAACAAACTTGAATATGCAAAACAATGATTATCAAATGCAACGATTCTGAAATGTAAAACAAATATCCTATATACTGTACCTGAGCTTGCCTGGGCTTAACGTTCAAGTAAGGAGAATTCTTCAGCTTCTCATCATATTTTATAATATTTTTGACGACGTTATAATCAGTCTTTGCTCGTTCATCATAAACATCTATGTTAGATAAATAATCATTCAAATCTTCAATATCAGCATCAGCATCGTCTCTAACTTGAATTAATTTTTTTAATTTTACGGCTTCCTCAAGTGATAAATATGGGATCGCCGCAATGGTACCTTTGGCTTCATTTCTACATGTATTTACAAACTGACAACTTTTACATCTATCATTATAGTGCCAAGGTAGTTTTGGTGTTTTTATAATTCTTGGTAATTTTTCACGAAATAAAAGTTCTACCTTTGGAAGTAAAGGGTCTATAGAGAATTCCTGCAACTTTAAAGGTGGCAAATAAATTCCACCCGTGTATGAAATAGTAAGTTCAGGGATGTCTTGAACAATAAATCCAAGTAGGTATGCATAGAGAGCTACTTGAAGCTAAAAAACCGTCAGAAGGAGGAAATTATAACTTATTAGAATTTCATAAATTCAAGAACGTTTAAATTTTACCTTATGATTATCCTGTATACATTTTGAAGACTTGGCGTCATATATCAATAACTTCTTCTTGCCACCTTCTTCTTTAACTATAATGAAATCAGGTTTGAATTGTCTGATTTCAATAATATTCTTTATATTGAACTTTTTATAAAATTCTTCATGCACATTAAATAACATTTGACAAAATATTTGGCCACATTTAGCCTCTCTTAGTAAATTGATGGTTTCATCATGTGACAACTTTCGTTTAATAAAATTATCTTTATGTAAACTCCTTAAATGATTTTCAACTTCTATTTCAAAGTTTCTTCCACGTTGTAATGATGCGCCACGTAAAGTACGACCTTTCATACTTTGTAAAATTGGTTTTTTATCGTGGGATCGCCTTGATTTAAACTTTAAAAATTTATCGCAATTTAGGTAATAGTAATTTGATATATCTGATATCGTTATTGAAGCGACCTTTTCTTGGGAGTCTTGAGAATCTTCATTAGGCTTTAATGTTAGGAGTAATAAAAACGACCATTATTTCATTATTCACGGACGAAAGATTTTCTCCGGTGCATTCCCGGTGCATGATATTTGAAAAAAAATGGAAACGTTACCGTATTTCGGAGTTTTTTCCTTATTGGATTAGAATCATCCTTCATTTCCTCCATTTTCAAGTTGAGACAAAGTAAGTGACGAAATAAGTGTTGTTATAATGGTAAACCTAATCGTATTGCACTTGATTAACGAAAGATCAAATTTAAAAAGAAATTATAAAAAATATATATATCTTTAAAATGAGAAACGAATATTTTTTTTTTTCGAATAGGAATTTATAAGTTTTTTTTTGATTATTAAATGTTTTTTATTTTTATCATTGTAAAGTTCAAATGAAGATATTTATAGATATGGAACTTTCCATTTTGTGATAACAATAACTATTGTATTAATGCCAATTTTAGCAATTTTTAAATGAAAGAGATTTTAAATAAAGTTCCGCAGCGAACCATTACTTTATTTGGATACAATAAAATTACGACTGCGGACGGTCAATTACTTGTGACCAGGGTGGGTTAGTACATTATAATAGCATACAAATTTCCCAATTAGTAGTACTAATCTAAATTAATTTTTAAAACAATCTAGGATTTCATTGTATTTTATGTTGCTTTGTTGTTCATAATAAACCTTGCTACGCCGCAAATTTATATTTATTATTAATTATTAAACCGGAAATTTAATTAATAAAAAAGGTTGTTCGCCCATTTTGAAGAGCGAGCAAATATTGTGAGCGGGAAAACCCTTAAGTTTCGACGTACCATCGATGCTATGAGTTTCCATATACAATGCTAAAACTTTTTTATTTAAAATAATGCAAGTACAAAATACAATTATCGGCAGGTAGTATTAAGCTAAACTTATCACGTAGCCATTTAACGGAATTTGTATACGAACCTACATGGTGTCAAACGCCCGTCTTGCCTTGTAAAACGTTCTGTATAATACCCGGGGTACAATACATTCGGATTTTTGGGGTACTATACTAGGGTACTATGATCGGAGGATGCTATCAGAGAGAATTAAAAATGATCAATTTGTATTTCATTTTAAGTTTTATTATATTTTTTTAAAAATTTATAAAATGAGTTAAAAATAAAATAAAATAAAAATAAAAATGTCAATATATATCTAATAAACTTTATAATGAACATTACATATTATCATGAAAATAAACTTCACGCTGAAGTTCGAGCTAAATTATAATAAATATAGACTTTAGCTTGATGATTTTATACTAAATAGACTGGATTAGAATGAAACTAATATTATATTTTGTAATTCCCTCACAAACCAGTTCTTTAACAGTGGCGTTGTAAAAATTATGAAATCATTTTAACGCGAGAGGTTGTTTTGAATTTTTCCAATTTGCACGATAGACTTTTCCAGAGCTGCCTGTACCAATCTTATGAACATTGCTAAAATGATTTTTATTTGTAGTATTTAACATTTTTTTTTGAGATTGCTTCTTCAATCTGATTAATAGACTCATTCAAATTATTTGGCGTCTTTACATTTTGATTTTTTTAATTTTATTTATAGCGAAATAATAAAAATTCTTGGAGAAAAAGCAAAAAAAAAAAATGTACAGTATTAGTGAAGTTTCTAAGCCATCGGTCAATAATCCGGTGAAACTGTGAAAAAAAATATTTTTTCTTGTGTCTATGATTTTCCAAAAAAAATTATCATTTACTATACTTAGAAATATTGTTAATTTATGAAATGGAATAACAAGTATCTGTCGCTCACTTCAATATTTATTCAATATTTAGGAAATGTAGGTGTGGCACTTCAGATGGACCCTTCAGCTCGTCATGATGGCGCAGTCAGGTGGGTGACTTTTTTATTATTTTTATTTATTTATTTCTTTAATTAATCTCCGCGATTTAATTGATTTAATTAATTTTATTTTTCTAAAATATTTAGGTAATTTATATTTTTAAAAAATACCCATGAATTTTTTTTATTTTAAAATATAATTTTTTTTGTTTGTTAATTTATATTTTAAATTTCATTTTTTTAATTGATTTTTTAATTTTAATTTGGATTTAATTATAATACCGTATTCTTCCGAAAATAAGCAACATATTTTTGTTATAGTGTTGCTTATTTTCGGGTAGTTTATGAATCTTCGAAGAAAAATAAAATTAAAAATCCGAAATTTGATCAACACAAATCCCGTGATTGTAGATCATCTATTTATCTCAACACGAAATACGCGAACTTGTTTTAAA